TCAGATCAGATCTGACTGGTACAGGAGGAGATTGTCCCTACTTTCTCGGCAGAGCATCTAGTGGATTCGAACCATGCGTCTCTGGGATTGCAGTGCAGCTTCTTGCCACTAGGCCACTAGAGCTCCCCTTTTCATTGAGATTTTAATGAAATTTATAAAGGACTTGGATTTCCATTCATTCATTTTTGTACATTTTCCTCCCTGTGCCCCCTCTCCCCCAGTTTGCTTCTTCTTTGGGGGGAAAAAAGTTCTTTCCTTGTTAATACAGTCCTCCTGCCCCCAAACCACTTTACTATGCAGCTCTTATTCTGGACTCTTATCATGCCAGTAATACCTAATTATATATTCCTCTTACACAGTTTTTTCCCTTGTCTGTTTCAATGCCATGTACATTATTTATCTTCTGTAAGTTTCTCCCAATGCCCTTGTCAGTCCTGTTTTATAACAGTGGCATTATGCAATATTTGTCTTTTTTGGGACTGAGATATTTCACTCAGCATAATGTCCTCCATGGTCACCCATTTTGCATACTTTTTCATGACATTTTTTCTTTTCAGTGCTGCATAATGCTCCATTGTGTGAATACACCACATCTTCTTTATCCATGTGTTTGTTGGTGGGCACTTGGGTTGTTTCCAGCTCTTTGCTATTGTGAACAAAGCAGCAATAAACATGGGTGTGCATTACAATTGTTTCTTCAATGTGAAGTTTGTGTCAAGGATAATAAGGTTTAAAGGCCTACTGATTTAAGCAATTAATAGAAATAAACCCTTCAGGATAAGAAATTAAATTTTTAAGTCATCTAATAAAGAAGATGGATACATTAGTACTCCACTCTCTTCCATTATTACCATACGCAAGTTGCTAAATCTTGTTTGTAGCCACATCTGTTAGGTTATTCCTAATGGTTCTGAAATCTAGTTTGTTTTTATAAAATGTAAAAATTCCCTAGTTTTGACATTAAGCAATACCTAAAAAAATTTTCATGCATCAGTTTTTGTTCTGGGTCAGTAGAACATGTCTTAGGACCATCCAGATAATGTCAGAGTAACTGTCTAAAATGTTGAGGTTATGATAAATTAAGGTATCTGTCATATAGTAAGTAATACATCTATGAATATTCCACAAGATGCCATTCTTATACAACAAACACAAATTGATGAAAACAATACCAAAATGTCTACCTTAATTAATTTCCAGCTGCAAACCAAATAGATACTACTTTCTTTTCTTTTCTTTTTTTTTTTATATACTACTTTCATAATCAGAGCAAGGTCTTTAAAATATATGTTGAAAACATCTTGTATTCTGCTCAATTTGCAGTTCATATAACATGATTCTTTAAGCTTAAAATAGCATATTATTTCTGTTTGCATCTTTGTTTTCAATGAAGTTATTTTCATTTTAGAGATGCTAACTTTGCTTTTCTCTGTGTGTTTTTTTTTTTTATTCTTCTCTGACAACTTCAAAAAGAACGACTAAACCAACTCCTCACTTAGATGGGTAAATACTATTTATTTTAGAATCAACTTTAAATTGACATTAAAATTGGAGGCCTTTATTTAATTAATTTTACTTGATTCTCATAGACATCATGTTGTTTTTGGGCAAGTTATCTCTGGTCAAGAAGTTGTGAGAGAGATAGAAAACCAGAAAACTGATGCAGCTAGCAAACCCTTTGCTGAGGTACGGATACTCAGTTGTGGAGAGCTAATTCCCAAGTCTAAAGGTAAGACCAAGTACGTATTACTAAAAATTTCTATAAATGCAAAAAAGAAACTAAGCACCATAAGTATTTCTACTACAGCAAATGTAAATATGAAGTTTTTTTTAAATATACATATTTTATGCATAGTTTTAAATGTTTTACCCTACTTGTTACTTAATTTACCATACAGCTACTTTACTTTTCCTTGTCATTAGTTTGCAGTCATTTTTCCCATACTTACATTTTACGTTTTGTACTTTGATCATCATTTTCTGAATGGCAGATTTCTCCTACAGGCTCAGTGGAGTGGAGGGAAGAAGGATGAACACTGAACAGAAACTTGGCAGAATAAATTTTTTCTCTTTCATACATAAATTTTTAGGTTGCAAAGTAGCATGATTAACTATGATACTATTTGAAGTGGTAAGGATTTTGTTTAGATAAGTATTTTAAGTCTTTGTGTTAGCACTAGTGGTAGGGAACCTTGCTGCCAACCCATAAGCACATGGTTTAAATCTACCAGCTGTTTGGTGAGAGATGAGCACTTTCCTCCCCTGTTATTTACTGCCTCTGGAAACTCCATTGGAGGGTGAGCTATGAGTCAGTTTCAACCTGATGGCACCTAACAACAATATTATATGAAATAGGGAGCTCTGGTGGCATAGTCTGTAGGGATTTGTGCAGCAAACTGAAAGCCAGTGCCTCTTTGGTGGTTTGAATGCATCAGCAACTCTTTTGGAGAAATAAGGACAGTCTTCTTCCCTTGCAGTTTACAGCCTCAGAAGACTCCCTGGAATATCAGTTGTGAGTCAGTATGACTCGACGGCAGTGAATGTGTAAAAGTATTATATAAAATAGGTGGTTGTTTCCATGTATTAGGAAGGTTTGGTGGTGTAGTTCCTGGTGAATAAATTTAAGTGTGATCTGTCTCTTCTGGTATAAGTCTCTTCTGGTACTTAGAGTAATCCTATGATTTAATTTTGCCATTTTGCAAATGAAGGTAATTAAGTTTTTTATATCAGGGATCTAGGCTCCATGTGCTGACTCTCCCATTTACTGGTTCCAAACCTACAGCTTTTTTCTTCTGTATGACACTGATAGATTAAATTTTAAGTGCCTTTACCATTCCTTTCAGAATTGCACCATGTAAAACATTTTGTTCTTACCTTTTAGTTAATAATTTGCTCTGTACTATTTAGAAATATGCAGATTGTGGTTAATTTTAATTTCACAAGAACCACATGGTCAGAAAAAATAGAAAATGTTTCTTTTTCTTTATCTCTGTGTTCTACTTTGATCTAATTTTTCTCTGTCATTTCACGTAAAAGCCTTCTGGGTTTATATACAGCAGCTCATAATTAGAATATTTGTGTAACTTCTTGTTATTCGTAAGTATTTTTATTTACAAATAATATTTAATGTGTGCCTTTTATTCTTAAAGATAAAGAATGAGGTATTGTTGAGCATCTTTGACATTCTGTAGAGGCAATCTTTATTTTATTTTTAAAAGTATTATTAAGCAGTCTGTTTAATGATTGCAAATTTTAGATCCTGGAACTGCTGATGAGAATGTTTCAGCTTATAATATTTCTCTGACATCCTTTTGGAAATCTTCATCCTGACAACTATTTTTCCCTTTCATAGTCTTTGAGATCTCTTGTGTTAGTATCTGTTTTCTGTTTTATAAATGTTGAGGATTCTGTTTTACTTGGAAGTTCAAAAGAGCTTTTTGAGGACCCCAGCAACATTAGCAAAGTTCATCAGAGCAGCAAATAACAAATGCTGACAAGGTTGTGGAGAGATTGGACCTCTTAACTTTCTTCTGGAGGGAATGTAGAATTATACAGCCACTATAGAGGGCAGTCTGGCTTTTTCCAAAAAGTTGGAAATAATACCATTTGACCCAACAGTTACACTACTGGGAATATACCCTAAAGAAATCAGGGCCACAGCCACAATTCAGATAGATGTATACACACACTTGTTTATTGTGGCGTTATTCGTAATAGCAAAGATATGGAAGCAACCCAAGTTTCCATCAATAGATTAATTGGATAGAAAAACTATGGTGCATTCACAGAGGAATTTTACACAGCATTGAAAAACAATGAACTTATAAAACATTACACAACATGAGTGAGACTGGAGGACATTAAGCCAAATGAAATATCTCTTTCAGAAAAGGACAAATACTGCATAACACTGCTGTTATAAAATAGGACAGACATGGGAAAGTTGCAGAGAAAATAAGAGTGGATAGATAACACTGCAAAAGAAGAGATGAGAGGAAGAATGGTGCAAAAGGAATATATAATTAGGTATTATATGTATGACAACAAATCTGAAACAGTACATTGTGGAGTGGGTTGAAGGGGAGTGGAAAAAATGTACAATGAATATAAAATATAAATAAAAAATTTTTAAAAAAAGATTGCAAAAACAGTTTTTGTTTTTCAGTCCAGAGACTCCTTAAAGGTTCTTTAAGTACCAAGAGGATAGTATTTGAATATTTTCCTAAAGAAATAATGCTCTTTTTATATTATTATTTACATCGTTAGCTCCAGAATTTTGATGGCCTTGTGATAAGGAATTGCATTGGTAACCTAAAGGCAGGTGGTTCAAATAGACCAACTGCTTCACAGGCAGAAGAGGGGTAGTCCCCTCCCATGTGATTAACTGCCTCTGAAAACCTGCTGTAGGATTAACTGTTGGTCGGTTACAACTCAGCTCAATGGTACACAACAACAACTTAAATCTTTATAATCATTTGGTACTGGAAGAGATAAATGTTAGTTTTACTTACGCCATTATGATCACAAAGTTGTGCTGAAAGTTGATGTAGGATGCATTGGCCCCAGAGAGAGAACATTTGGTTGGGTTTTTATTCTGTGACCCTTGTCTCGATTGTCTTTGTCTACGTACTATTTTGATCCTATTTAAAAAAAAAAAAGAAAGTTGATGTAGGGATCTACCTTGGCCGGGTTTAGGAAGTTGAAGAAAATTTAATCCTTCTGAGCCAGACCTCACCTATCTTATCTCTGAGAGTCTTTCTATATTTGGGAACACACAATTGGGTACCTTTTAACCTCCTACTCCTTTAGTTAACCACTCAGAACATTGTCAGGATGAATTTTTTTGACTATATATATATATAAAAAAATCTTATTTTAGGCAGTTTTGTCTTCTATGCAGTTTTACAAGTTTAAATGTCTCTTTACCAGAATTTTTAGTTGGGAACAGTCAGAAAGCTTAATGGAGCACTGATAGGCTACACCATTTTATTTTCAAACATTATTGAGAGTTTTATACCCCAATTTAAGAAGAAATAAATACAGAATCTTTTTTTTTTCTTCTTCTTCTTCTTTTTTTAAACTTCCTGAAAGAAAACAAAAAGAGTTTTGAAGAAATCTGACTGTCTGGGCCCACCTGTATATGGTCTTGGTGAGTCTGGGCAATCTCCTTGGGCCTTTCTCATTTTACTGTTACAAGATTGGAGATTTTGCTTATTTGTAGCTATTTGAAGTTGTCTGAAGGTTCAGAATTAAGGAGAAGACTCTTCTAGCAAATGTAGAAGAGTGGAAACAATTTAAAAACTGGTTCCCCAATAAAAGTTTAATAAAGAACTGTTCAGGGATAATTTGAGGACAGAATCTAGCTTAATTATGGTACTTACTGATTTTTTAGGAATTTGGCCTTAGGGTCACTGCTACTATAGAATATACAGAATACAAGTACTGAGTTAGGATAACATAATTAGGTGAGAAGATATGTTACCTCTCCATGGTAGGATATGAATTGTTTAGTGGAAGCAGTATCTGGTGCCATCTTAAGCTCAAGAGAAAATTAGTGGGAACTTCACAGGTGCCTTTTTGTGGTGGTAACAGGCCATTTCAGTACCCTAATTCTGGAAATAGAAGTCTGTGCAGCCAGGCGCTTTTATTGTAAAGTAGTAAGGTGTTCGACCAGTGATAGGAAAATGCATACATAAGATCTATTTCAGGCCTTTTTTTCCTGTCATGTCTAGAAATTTCCATCTGATTCAAGGTTGGGGGTTTTCTTATTATTTTTAATGAAAATGTACAGAGACTTTGGATTTCCATTCATTCATAGTTGCACTTTTCTCCCTGCCCACCCCCACTACACTCTTCTCTTTGAAAAGTAAAAGAAAACTCCTCCCCCCAGGTCCACTCCACTTATGCAGCCTTCGTTCTGTACTTCTGTCATGACAATAATACCCAATCACATGACCCTTTTAGATTCAAGGTTTTAAGTGAGAGTCTTACTATAAAGGTTATTTTTAAAAAACCACAAAACTCAAGCTCCTTGTGGTCAAGTTGGTTCTGACTATTGTTGACTGTCCATCGAGGGGTCTGAGGCTGTAAATTTGAACATGAGGAAACTATACATCTTTCTCTTGGAGGGACTGATAGATTAAAAATGCTGATAACATGTGGCCTTTGGTTTAGCAGCATAACTTGCTACAGACTAAGCCACCACTACTTTACAGACCTCCATAAGTAAGGCAGCATTTTTTTTTATCTTGGGTTTTTACAAGTATAAAATTTGTTTTCTTTTTATTCTGGTATCTACTAGTAAGTTTACTACTTTATTTTCGTTGTGTTTGTTTAAATCAATGAAGATGTTTAGGACATTCTTTTATGTAGTGAAAAGCAAACTAAAGTCTAAGTAACAAGAAATAGCACCAAAATTGTACAGTTAATTTCCTTTCAGTTGTTTATTACTCTTAAATTATATTGTGGATTTTTGCTTAAGGTACTTAGAAACGTGGCTTAAATATACTTTAAAACAGATTTTGAGAAAAAGGTTAGAAGAGTAGTAGGATAGGTATATTTTCCCCTCTGCCTTTTACAAAACGAGGTGGAAACAATTTTGTCATACTTAAAATGTATAAAAATATTTCTAGTTTAATATATACATTTTGTTCAAATATACATTAGGAAATGTGACAGGAGGGTTGTTGTTGTTGTTATGTGCCATCGAGTCATTTGCGACTCATAGCG